TAATTACTATTACAACCATATTGAATATTGCAAAATAAAATAAACAACAATATAAAGATAATGTACAATAAAAGAAAATTATTTTGGTTTTTTTTTATGAAAGGTCTTGATTTAATTAAAATAATAAAAACAAATTAATTAAAGTTCCTAATTTATAAGTTAATTAAATTAGCAAAGAAAAATAAAATAAACTATGTCTAGATTAAATTGATTAAGAAAAGAATTTTGTTAAAAAATGTTTTTGATCTTTTATTTTTTTTTTAAAAAGAATAAAAATAAACTATATCTAAATAATAACATAATATTTTTGGTATTTTTGACTAATAAAAATAATAATAATAATAGTAGTAATAATAAAAATAATAAAAATAATAAAGAAGAGAAAATAAAATAAAATATGAAATTAAAGTCAGGAAGGTGTAAAAGTAAAAAGGAGGTTTAATAGAAAAAACAGATTTTGTTTGTTAGGCCCAATGGCATGTTTTTGTATGATTAGAAAAAAACAGAATGAAATAAAAGGAAATGGGCTGCGTGTTACTCAAAAAATGGGGGGGGGGGGGGGGGGGGGTTAGTAAAAAAAATCAGGCCCAAACCAAATGGAGCCCAGCGCCTGCCTCATGATCCAATGGGGAAGGCCCTTTGAGGTTCACCATGGGGACAGCTTCCAAGAGCATGGATCTGCCTTGTATCATGATCAGATAGTGATGATTGAGGAGTGTATCATGTGCGCGTTGGCTGGTTTGCACGGGATCTAAAATAAGAAATTGTAAAAAAAACAAAAGGGTACCACTGGGGCTCGAGCCCAGGTTCCTATAATCACAGGCGCGCGCTTCTTACCACTGGAGTGGTTATACATCAGGTGTTATAAACAAAACCAAACATATATATTATAAAACAAGTCATGAATATGACTTCATCTTCTTCTTCGCGTCAGAAGTTACGGCACCATTTTTGAAAACGCTATCTCCTTCATTTCTCAACCATTTGCAAAAGTATAAACATGAAACTTGCTCCAAATTTCATCGTGAGTTCAGTCATATAAATAATTAAAGCTATAAATCAAAGATGAGCATGAATTTTGTTTGGTACCAAATTTAACCTAACTTTTTCAGCAATTTCAAACTCAAAATTCTCACTACTCAAGCAATATAAATGAATTTCAAAGACATGGTCAGTTTCAGGGATATGATGTCTATATTTTATCTTTGAAAATGGAAACCAAATGATGCCTAGATGAAGAGTTCAAAAGTCAGAAAACTCACCTTGAAAATGGAATTCATGTTTTGAGTTTGAGCTTGCTTCAAGGTGTTGCAATGATCTGGTTAGCTTCTTTGGACCTCTAGAAAGCTAATGCAATGCTTAGCTTGAGTTGAGAGTGGATGAAATGTTCTAGAAAAGTCATGTTGCATGTGGTTGTTTTTGAGTTTAGACAATGGTGATGGAGGTGTTACAGTTCCAAAACAGGGACATGGATGAACTATATTTGATGTATGGAAGCTTTGGAAATGATTTTGAGGGAAAACGCACGATGGAAGTGGAAGATACAAGTTCAAGGGCAGAACTGTGGTAAAAATGGAGTTTTATTGCAAATTCTGGTTGGAGGGAGTTTGAGGTAATTTTCAGGCTTCTAAATTTGTGTCCTAGGCTTGCAAACAGTGCCTCAATTTATAGGAAAAGATTTGAGAGCTTGAGATGATCAGAAGTACAAGTTCACATGTTGTCGCTCTTTTGCTTGTTTTTAAAAGCAAACTTGATACACATTGTCCCAATGCATAGTACATGGCTATCTAGAGTGGTTACAAGATTTAAACATGTTTATCTGACTTTGTATGTTGAGTGTGTGCTGAACAAACAAGTTAGAAGCTCAAGACAAGTTGACTTTGTGATTAAAGCAACTTTTCAAGAATGGAATGGTAACTTTGTGCCATAAATGGAAATATAATTTGGATAATTGTTTAAATGCTTGAACAATGGCTCTATCAGTTGTGTAATTAATTAATTATGGAGTGAAACACAAGTTAGAAACCTGCAAAGCAAGATTATGCAGCATAGCTATGAGATTGGATCAAATGTTCATCAAGAAAATGACATATAATTCAAGTTTATGAGGTCATCTTCATCTCTTCGAAACTTCTAGCTCAAGCATGATCTATTCAAGTTCTTGGATATTTTGGAAAGCTTGAAAAATCCTCTACAACCTTCATGTTGACCATTTTGACAAAATCATCTTAGAGCTTGGTGAAAATTGGTCAAGAGGTTAAGTCAAAACTCTGCCTGAACTAGGTCAAATTTTCACTAAGTGTTTTAGAAAAAGTGCATGACTTTATGGGCTTATAACTCAAAATCTAAGCATTTTTTGGATATGAGTCCTCTAATACAAAGTTGTAGATCACATCAAGATCTACAACACGTTGAAAGTTTCTTTTGAATCATCTTGCATATTGGTGAAAAATTGGCATGATGTAGTGAAATTATCATGTATAAAAACACTAGGAAAATATTTCTAAGTCTTGAAAATTTGACTTTTCAAATTGACTTTTGACTTTTGACTTTTTTGATTCCTTGATGATCAAGCTTCATATTTTTTAATGTCTTGATGAATTGTGATCTTTGAAATCAAACCTTGATTAAAAAGTCAAATTTTGACTTTTTGTGCAGCAGTTGACTTTTCATCAGTTGACCCAAAATTCAACTATCAATCCATTGATTTTGAAAGATGATTTGAGCCATGAGATTAGGTCAACATGTTGTATTAGAATCCTTGAGATTGGGTTTTAAGCCATTGGATCATGTATTAGATCAAAAGTCAATGTTCAGTCACAACCCTAATTTTGACCATTTTGCCTTTTTGGTAAATTGAACATTTTTGTTGAGGAATTATGATCCAAATTTGATAAATTGATGAATATAACTTCAAAATATTTATGTTGACCAAAAATCTTGAAGTTTGACAGTAATATGACCACAGTTGACTTTTACCCAATACAGCTGATTTTCAGCATCTGGTCAATTGACTGAGCAAATTTGTGATTCAAGACTTGAAACTTGACATGAGTATTCTTGGAAGTCTATAATGATCCATGAAGGTCATTTGAGGCATTAGAAGTCCAATTATCCTTGTGAAAATCAAAACCCTAATTTGAGGCATCGGTGTTTAGGAGATAGTTTGACCTAGTCAACATTTGTGCAAACTTGAGCTTTTTGGAGATCTTGTGAGAAATGTCTTGAAAAAGGAGAGGGGAAATTTTACGGTACAACACCCTACAAGGGAGTCACGAGGTTCATGCGAACTTATAAGAGGAAAGCAGTTAACGTGTATTGGCCATCAATGAAGAATGCAATACAGAATTTTGTCAAGAGTTGTGATACTTATCAAAGGCATAAATATCTCGTTGTTTCCCCTAGAGGTCTTCTCTAACCTCTACCGATCTCAGAGGATGTGTGGGAAGATTTGTCGATGGACTTGATTATCGGTTTACCCAAGTCCAGGGGATATGAAGCAGTTATGGTGGTTGTTGACCGCTTGTCCAAATATAGTCACTTTGTGCCCGTCAAACATCCTTATACAGAGATCTTCACTAAGGAAATCATAAGATTACACGGAATTCCTAGATCAATAGTCAGTGACTGAGACCCAGTATTTATGAATCATTTTTGGAGGGAGATTTTAAAGCTATAGGGGACTCATTTGAAGTTCAGTTCTGACGGGCAGACAAAAGTAGTTAGTCGTTGTCTGGAAATTTACCTTAGATGCTTTACGGCTGATCAACCTAAAGTGTGGCTAATGTGGATTCTCTGGGCAGAGTATTGGTTCAATACGACATATCACTCAGCCATAAATCAAACACTGTTTGAGGTGGTTTACGGTAAGAAGCCCCCAGCTCTGGTTAGTTGGAGCATTGGTGAAACAAGGGTGGAATCAGTGCAAAGAGAATTGCAAGCCAGAGATGAAGCAATATGTCAATTGCGTAGCCAACTGTTGAAGGCTCATAATCGAATGAAAGCTCAAGCTGATAATCACAAAGTGGAAAAATCTTTTCAGATTGGTGAATGGGTGTTTGTGAAACTGAGGGCTCATCGTCAACAATCCGTGGTCACACGTATTCACGCCAAACTAACAGTAGGTACTTTGGTCCTTACCATGTGATTGATAGAGTAAGGACAGTGGCATATAGATTGAAATTGCCAACAAGCTCAAAGATACATCCAATTTTTCACGTTTCTTTGCTCAAGAAAGCAGTAGGGAATCATCAAGATGAGAGGGAATTACCTGATCAATTAGATGGAGAAGATGTAGAAGTGTTGGAACCCGAGAAGGTGTTGGTTGCTCGTGCTATCAAACAACACGGTGAAGAGATACAGTAGTGGCTCGTGCAATGGAAGGGGAAGAGTGTTGATGAAGCGACTTGGGAAAATGTAATTACTATTAAGAGTCAATTTCCAACATTCACCTTGAGGACAAGGTACACTTTCAGAATGGAGTATTGATAGGAACCACGTGACTTATAGTGGAGGGGGAGTACCTCTTGTGCATCATAACACTCATAGGCCCCTAATATGGAGAGTCTATTCTAGAAGGGGCAAAAACGGAAATTAAAAGATAATTTTATTATGCAGGAGGTGAGAGAAATTGGAATCTTTCCACATTATAAGGAATAGAAGAGAGGTCGAGAGGATTATCTTAGAAGAATTAAATTGTTAGATATGAATGGGAGGTTTTAGCCACCTATAGGAACTTTTGCTCCGTGTCAGATTTCAGGGTTCAGGGTCATTTCCCTCTCTGTATTTTCCAATTTTATCATCAATAAACAATCATTTTTCTGTCCATCTCTTTATTCTGTGTTACAGTGTTATTAAGTACTGTGGATTCTTAACACATTGTAGATAAAGCAACATGATATTTCACATAGAAATTTAACTATTGCATTAAATAGTAGCTACGTCACAATTTTGAACAACACTATACACCCATAAATCACTTTGAATATCCTCCCTATTGATTAATGTTGTTTGCCTTGGTTTTCTTCAACCATTCGAATGCATTCAATTATGGTTGTATCAGGGATTGTGCTATTGTACCCTGCAGTCCAGAGTTTCAAGAAACACATTAGTAATTGAGAATGACATGATTTTTCTGGCAATAGCAGGTTTGATAAATAAAAAATGAATCTTAAGTTCTCAATAATCGTGAACTTACTAAGATGATAAATAGTTAAAAGATTCTGGAAAATCTATACATTAGTCCCAACTACTTTTACTTCTTCTTTGAGCTTTCTTATCTGATTGCACCTTCTTGCTTTTGAGGCGTTTATGCTCTCCGATAGCAGCCCTTCAAAAGTGCACATTTCATTGACACTTCAGTTACAAAACAAGCCCTTCTTCACCATCAGGTAATTCTAATGTTAACACTTAAAAGATTCTCCGAACAAAACGATGGCCAAATAATAAACTGTATTTAACCTGGAGAATAAAAAGTGTAGTATATCAAAAAGAGGAGTGCTCTTACAACTTTGCGATTTTCTTCTTTTGCTCTTCTGAGGGAGGTGGTGGGACATAAGATGCTGCATCAATGATTTCCTATTTTTTTTCCCAATAAAGCAAACAGAAAAGCACCATTGTTATTTTTCTTTTTGGGGGAATAAGAAGTGAACATGCTCTGTGTAGTACTGTAGTTGAAAAGGGGGTAAGGGGAAGAAAGGATAGATAACTGAAGTCTAATATCAAAAATGACGCATCATATCCTAGATGGCACTAATCACAAGGGATTCTGTATAATGTTAGCTTTTAAGAAAAGAGAAGTATCCACAACACTCACTATCATTGGACTTTCAACATTAATTAATGAAATTCACGCGGTTCACACCATTTTGGAAATGGATCCCACTTAAAGTGGTAAGCCTAGCATGAATTTCATCTAATTGGAGAGGAGAGTTGGAAAGAAAGCTAGAGTGAGTATTGCTATCAGTTTTCTTTAAGAAATACTTGAAATGCTTATAAGATTTCTCATATGTTACAGATCACATAATGATACAAACTACAAAAACAGATGTGTGTATTATTCAGTGAAAATGTGAGCATTAACGATTTGAAGGGAATGTAATCCAGAGTCAGTGGCTCCTATCCTTAGAGATATACTTTCCTAACCAACTCAATAACAATCTTCCTGAATGAATGGTACTAAGTAACCTGTTGCCCCTTTCTCCTATAGCTGAGTAACATGGAATCAGTGTACACCACACTAACTAATATATTATTTCCCCTTGGCCCCACCTTGCTCCTTGTGTAAACCTTCTAGAAGCTGGCCTATGTGTACTAGCCTGAATGATTGGTTCAGCAACACAGGTGTGAGGTCCAGGTGTCCTATCATTGCCTCCCCCGGCACTACAGCCTTTGACTCAAAACTGACATTAGGGAACTGATTTCGCAGAAGCTCCTTGTCTTCCCGAGTGGTATCCTCCACATTCCGGCCTGTCCCTTAACTAACCACTGTCTTACCTGCTGTCCAGCTCATTGTATTTCTCTGGAGGTCAGTCCCTCTTCAGGCTCCTTCATCTCATCAACCTCCAAACCTTCTGGCAGAGAGGTCTCAACTGCATAATCCCCAATAGCTTTCTTCAATTGTGATATGTGGAACACAGGATGAACTCTGGCGGCATCAAGGAATTTCCGTTTATGCGATACAGACCCTACCGTAGCCACAATGGGAAAAGGTCCAAAATATCTTGGAGTTAATTTTTTTGTTTATTCTTTTGGCTACTGACCGCTGTCTGTGGGGCTCAGCTTAAGGAATGCCCATTCTCCCACTTCAAAAACCACACGTCTTCATTTCTGATCGCATACCCTTTCACTCTGCCAAACCCATAAGGTTCCTAATAGAAAAGTTAATAAATGCCCTCTCCCCTTGCTACCCCTTTCCTTAATATGATTCTATTTCCTCCCTAACAGATTGGTCACGTAAGCAAATTGTAACCAATGCTCTATGTGGCCCATTTGTTGCCCCAAGGCCCAAACCCAATATCTAAAAGTCACCACAACTCATTTTTCTCCACATTAATTGTTGGCTGGTTCTAAACAAGTACAGTTTCATAAAGAGGATGTTGTAGTCAACCAACTCAACAGAAAAAGGAATAGACAACCAATAAAGAAGGCCCGGGGGAAATGAACCAATTTACGTAGTCCTCCAAGAATTATTCAACTTCCTAATCAAAGATTCAAGATATTATGAAAAGTCCATAGTCCTCAGAGAATCACAAAAATATTCAGCACCAAAACTCTTGGAGTTGGATTTACCACAACTGGATGCCCGAGAGTGCAGAAAATGGGTGAGATGTGTCTATCACCATTTCACTATCCTAAGCTGATACTTTCCCCTAGTTTAGTCGCCATCAAGACTAAGGATTATTTTGCAAACACCACATTTCAGTAAACAAACTCCTCCCAATCCCGCCACCACCAAAGAAGAATAAGAAGTACTAGAATCCAGTACAACCAGAAAGTAAAAGCTTTTCTTATATAGCTGACAAGACTTCACAGATACTGTTTCACACCAGAAGATTTCATTTAAAGGTGCTACCATTATGTAGGCGAACAAGACTAAAGAACTATAAAACATAATAATTTCCTAACCTACCAAGCAATGATAACTATCCTATAACAAAACCCATTCTTAGGTCTCACTGAAATATTTAAGCTTTTAGGAGATATGATTTTTGGAAATAACATGTATATTAAAGCATGCTAAACAATTGTATATACCTGAAGCTTTGCCAAAGCATCGTCGATATTACCCCTGAAGAAAAAAATGGTAGAATAAGGCCTCTTACTTACAGCATACAAGGAAAAAAGTCAAACAAAATAACAGAAGGGAAGATGCAAACTTCTGTGTTCTAGTTTTGGTTGAAGAAATCACAAGCTCTCCATCCTTGTTAATGCGGTTTTTCTCCTGCACAGGATCAATACAAGGTAGATGATCAGTGCATAACACGCAATTTAAGCCCAACTAGATATACACCTATCTAGTTAAATAAACAAACATACAAACAAGTATATAACAATATTATGTGTTTCCTGTAAATAAAGGCAAGTAGGCACGATACGAAGTTAAGGCTATGTAAAAAGTGTCAGGAGCCAACTGGGCCCAGTTTGGATGCGCTTCTAGCTTATGGTAAGTTTTTCAATTACAATTTACTTATGATTCTTTACCTATGGAAAAGTGCCTATTAGCTTACAAATATTTATCAAGAAGTGGAATACTAGAATGGGAAAGTTCAAGAGTATTTTGGGTTTGAAGCATGGACAATGCGCAAACCCACCCATTTTGTACTGAAAATTAACTATTATTAGCAAAGAAGATAAACTCTAGATCAGTTGGTCACAGAAGCTCCAATTCCATGTCATGACTCATGAAACATTTCAAAAGATTATGAATATTTAGATATCAATTATCAAACAAACAAACAGTTAATCGCATGACTTGGTAATGAAGATAAAAGATTATCTGACACAAACCATATGCAAAATCTTCTCCCTGACCCTTTCATTTAGCCAATACGCATTTCCAACGTTGAACCGCATGTCAACCTTGGTGTTCACTGTCCAATAAGCAGGTATCACATTACAAACAGCACCATACTAATCAGCCCCAACATTGATTTAAAACTTACATTGAACACCATAGTAAACGCATATCAAGTAAATGTGAAAGCATAAAAACACCTTTATTGACATTCTGACCCCCGGGTCCTCCACTTCTAGCAAAACTCACAGTAACATGATCTGAAACCAAATAAATAAGCAAATTAAAATCAAAAAATTATCTTGCAGCATATATTGAGGGAATGAGAAAATTGATGAAAAAACTAAATAACTGACCCAAACTGATTTTGGGAATGGGGCCATCGTTATCGGCGGAGAGAGATCGATGTTCGGCTTCACGAAGAAGCTGCTGAACCTGAGATAACCGAGAGGAAACTTTGTTCCCAGAATCTGAAGCTGAGGAAGCGCATCGAATTGCGGTGGCGGGGTGCGAACGCTTTGATTGAAGAGAGAGGAGGAAGAAAGGGCGAGAAAGGTTACGAGTAATGGGGAACAAAGAGGAGGGGGGTGTGGGAGAGAGGTGTAATAGCAAAATCCCCTTCACCATTCTAGTGGTTGTTGAAGCCATACCTTACATTAAAGTTTTTCGTTTAAACCACGTCCACAATCCCAAATTTGGGAAAATACACAATCATACGTGCCTATGGTTCAAAGAAAGATATTTATAATTTATCCGACAATAAAAATAAAAGAAGTTTAATTCGAATTACTAAGAAAAATTAGTAATTATATTTCTTAATAAAAAAAATCATGTGAATTTTTATTCTTAACAATTTTTTTTTCAAACTCATATAATCATATTCTAAATATTATTTCTTACAAATTAATTCTTAAACTTAAAACATACATCTCATAAGAATCATTAATCATAAATTTTTAATTAATTAAAAAATAAATATGATATTTTCTTCTTTATTCATAATCACAATCGTCCTATAAATTCAATTTTAAAAATTTAAATTTTTTGATATTCCTATTGGTTGTTTTAAAAAAAATTCTCCCTAAACTTGTTTCTTTGGTTTTGATTTTGATTTTCATCTTAAGGTGCAGTTTTTCTTTCCTTCTTGGAATATTATCAGTCATACAGTTACACTCATTTTATTTACAAGATTATATAATTGATAGGTGAAGTCTAAGGTGAGAAACCAATTATATGATTCAATGGTGGGACATAAAAAAAGGTCATTAGATTTAATCATTGGTTTAGATAGAAGGAAGAACAAAAAAGAATATCTTATATTTGTTGGTGTACAGAAAAAAGATGAAATACAAAATAAATATATTAAATGACGGCTACAAAAATAAGAAATAATAATTTACAATGAATTACATTGAACTACATCACTAAGTTATTTATAAACAAAATAAAATCATAAATATCATCTAACAAATATATAAAAAGATATAATAATATTTTCTAAAAAATATTCCTAAAATATAGATTAATATCCAAAATATATTCTTAAAATATAGATTAAATCTAACACTATCCATTAATTTATATTTTATCCAAAACTGACAACATCAATTACATCCCTCAAGCGAAGAAATTGATCAGTCTTGATACCCTTTGTTAGAACAATTGTCAGCTGTTTTGGGTGCTACAGTGCACAATTTCTAATATTCTGCTCTGAACTTGATTCCTCAGAAAGTGATATTTGGTCTCAATATGCTTGCTTCTCTCATGCAACACTGGGTTCTTAGCAAGATTGATTGCAGACTTGTTATCAATCATCGGCTTCAGAGGTTTGGCTACTTCAATCTTCAGATCTTACAACAAGTTCATAATTCACACAGCTTGACATGCAGTCAGAGCACCTGCAATATATTCAGCTTCACAGATTGACAGCGCAACAACATGTTGCTTCTTGGAACACCAAGAAATAGGACCTCCCAGAAATTTGAATAAGTACCCAGAAGTACTTCTTTTGTCCACTCTATCTCCGCACCAATCAGAGTCTGAATAACTCAGAAGTTCTTATTCGATCTTTCTTTCAGACGGAAATAACACTCCATACTTCAAAGTTCCCTTTACATACCTCAGAATCCTGACAGCATCTTGGTAATGAGACCACTTTGGTTTACTCATAAGTCTGCTGACTATTCCAACTGCATAGTAAATATTAGGTCTGGTATTACACAAATACCTCAGAGAACCAACCATTTGTTTACAGTGATTTCTAGTAAACAACCGTTAGTCTTTCAATTTACTAATTATTATTGGTTACTTGCAAGATCAACTAGATTGATCCTAGAACACATGTGTCATAACTTATTTCCATGTTCATATCTATTATATTGATAGACTTATATTGTATGTTAAGTTCGAATACGAGATTCTTAGGAAAGATTTCTAAAATGGTCTATAGGAATAAACTAACTGAATGTAGGCAGGAAAGGCTTCGAATTAGACTTGGGCTTGAATGTAAAGATAAGTGTTTGAATAAAAGGATAAAGAGTAAAGTTTCTAACGAAGTGACTGTGTTTAAAGGCAAGTAAAACAAAGGAATGCAAGGAAATCGAAGGATTTAAAGGGCAGTTTGAATTAGACTGTATTTAAAGGCAAGTAAAACAAAGAAATGCAAGGAAATCGAAGGATTTAAAGGGCAGTTCGAATTAGACTGTATTTAAAGGCAAGTAAGACAAGGAAATGCAAGTAAAACAAAGAAATGCAAGGAAATCAAAGGATTTAAAGGGCAGTTTGAATTAGATTGTATTTAAAGGCAAGTAAAACAAAGAAATGCAAGGCAATCGAAGGATTTAAGGGCAGAAATACTGTAATGGCGAACTAAATATAACAAGACTTGTATTGAAATTGTAAAAAAGTAATGATGTTCAACACGTACATTGTATCTTCTGACTCGTTTTCCTTAATTCACGGAAGTTTGAGTATTTTGAGATCGTTTAGTACATAAAAGTGAACATTCTTAAATCTAACATAAGAACACCTATTTATAGTGTTTTGACCCTAACGGCCCTATTCTAAAATCACGCCATGTTCGAAGCATGCAGGCTTCCTATGTTTGCTGACTTCCACGCGTCTTCTAGAATGGCGCTCTTTATTTGAAATTCGAAATATGTACCAATCGAAGCATCTTGTTTCTTCGTTGCTTTCAAAATAACCCAATTACCTGGACCGTTTCCAACTTCTGGCACCCTTACATAAATGAGCTCTTTTATAATTCGAACACTAAAAACAAGTCCAAATTGAAATCCGCTGGAAATTGAATAATCCTTTAGCATAATGACTCCATATCTCCCACCAATATCCAATATTGATATTAATCTCCTTAGGTACTTTATTCGAAATATTATTTTGATAGTGGTTTCTTCCTTATTCGAAATAGCCAGCTAACAAATTGCCCCCCAAGAACATGTATTTCGACAGATATAAAGAAATACTTGTTTTTTGACTCATCCAGGCTATTTTGAGAGTATCAAAAACTCATGCAAAATCAACTTATGCAAGAGCAAGTTTTCTAAGTTGAAACGAAACGCCCCTTTCTGACTTGAATGTATTTTGTTAATGCTTTTTATTGTAAATGATCGAACACAACCATTCTGGCACTTATATAATACCATTTTGGCTTCATGTTTATATATTTATTTTTTATTATCCTGCAGTGATTCTAACCTCTTGCAAGCATGGTTTATACCTTTTTAAGTATTTCCCATTTACCCTCAAGATTCTTCTATCTTCTGCTAATTCTTCTATTTCGTAAGCATTATTCGAAAATGTTTTCAATACTCGAAAGAGACCCTCCCAATGGGGTGACCATTTACCTAATAATATGTTCTTTTTATCCATAGGTAATATAACCTTCCATACCAGGTCATTGGTTGAGAACAACTTACTTTTAACTCTTTTGTTGTATGCTCTGGCTACTCTCTCTTTCTGTCTTCTCATAACTTCTAAAGCATGTAGCCTATCTTCATCCACATCCACTAATTCATTCATCATCATTTCCCAATATTGATCAGTTGGTATTTCATTTTGTCTTTGGATTCTTACTGATTGTAAGTGTATTTCGACTGGCAACACTGCATCATGTCCAAAGGTAAGTCGAAATGGAGTAGTATTCGTTGCTTCTTTAGGAGATGTTCGACATGCCCACAAAGCTTGGTCCAAAGTTTTGTGCCAATTTCTTGGCTTTCGTCCTACATGTTTCTTTATCAAACCTATTATGACTTTATTGGCTGCTTCTACTTGTCCATTAGCTTGAGCATAGTAAGGAGTTGACGTGAGTAATTTAAATCCCATTTCTCTTGCAAACTCTTGCATTTTTTGCCCTGTGAAAACTGAACCTTGATTTGTTGTAATACTTTATGGTATTCCGAATCTGTAAATTATTTGCCTCTGGATAAATTCCATAATGACCTCTTGATCAACATTCACTAGAGGAATTGCTTCAATCCATTTTGTAAAATAATCTATACCCACAAGGATATATTTCTGTCCTTTGGATGATGCTGGTCGAATTTCACCAATTAGATCTAATGCCCATCCTCTAAAAGGCCAAGGCTTAACAATTGAATGTAACTCACTTGCAGGAGCATGTTGAATACCTGCATGAACTTGGAATTGTTCGCAACCTTTAGCAAATTCTATGCAGTCTTTGAGCATAGTGGGCCAATACATTCCATATCGAAACAACAACCATTTCATTTTGTGACCTGCTTGATATGCCCCACATGCCCCACTGTGCACACTGGATACTGCTAAATATGCTTCATTTTCTCCTAAACACTTGAGTAATATACCTTCTGGGGTTTTCTTAAAAAGTTCATTTCCTATTAGGACATAAGATAATGCCCTATATTTGGTCTTTTTCTCTGTACTTACTGAAGGTTCTTTCAAGTAATTTACTATGGGACTTCTCCAATCTGTATCTGCCAAAGTATCAATATTTAGAACTTCGAATTCTTTCTGATCTGCATAACCTAGTTTCGAAGTTTCCAAGTCTAATGGTGATAATTTGGTAGCCAATATTCTACCTCTTGTTTTTATGAGATATTGGAGTTTTTCTCTAGATGTCTTATATCCTGAAGCTATTTGAGCCAGGTCATTTGCCTCCTGATTATCAATTATGGGAATATGTTTTATATCCACATATTCAATTTTTTTGAGTAATCTATTAGCAATAACGAAGTACATGATCAAATTTTCCTTGATACACTTGTATTCTTTGGTTATCTGTTTGATGACTAGCTCTGAGTCTCCCCTAATTTCGACTCTGGTTGCTCCCAATTCTAACAAAGCTTCAAGTCCAGCAATTAATGTTTTATACTCAGCTTCGTTGTTCGAACAAGGAGGGCCTTCTAACTTGTACTTGAATTTCGTTGGAATTCCCTCAGGAGAAATTATAAGGACTCCAACACCACTTCCATATTTATGTGTTGACCCATCGAAGGATAATTTCCAAGGCTGGATCTCAACATAATCTAACGCGAAGTCTTCACTCACAAAGTGATCCACTATGAATTCTGAAACTACTTGTCCTTTCATAGCTTTTAAAGGCTTGAAGGTCAAATTGTACTCAGTGAGCGCTAAGGCCCATTTGCCAATCT